GTTGTTGAAGCACTGGATGCTAAGGATTATTGTGCTGAACTTTTCTTAGACCTGTCTAAAGCTTTTGACACTGTGGATCATAACATCTTGTGTCATAAACTCTCAGAAATCAGTTTCACAGAACACACCATTGGATGGTTCTCTAACTATCTTTCAGACCGGAGGCAATGTGTTCAACATAATGGTACTTCCTCCAGTTATTTAACAGTCAACAATGGTGTACCTCAAGTCTCAGTCTTAGGACCCACCCTCTTTATAATCTACATACATAATGTAGGTAAAAATATCCCTGATGCATCCATACATTTCTATGCTGATGACACAGTTGTTTATTGTCAAGCTAAAACTGTTGCTAAGGCTTTCCAGCTTTTTGAAATCTACATTCAACATCATTCAGACTGATTTGTTTCACCTCAAACTTGTCCTAAATGCTGACACAACCAAAGGGATGCTTTTTTCAAATAGGAAGTTGGTCCCAGCAGCTCTTCCTCCGATTTTATCCTCAAATGGTGTCCCCATTGAGTTTGTTGATTCCTATAAATATTTGGGTATCTTGGTCGACTCGCATCTCTCTTTTAAGCTCCATGTGGAAAACTTGGTAAAGAAACTGAAAGTTAAACTGGGTTTCTTTTTCAGAAACAGATCCTGTCTAACTCTGAATGCTAGGAAATGCCTTGTATCTGTGACTTTCCTTCCCTTCATTGATTACGGTGACATTATTTACATGAACGCTCCTACAAGAACCCTGCAGATGTTGGATGCTGTCTATCATGGTGCACTAAGATTCATAACTGGCTGTGATTATCCCACCACTGCACCCTGTATTCACTGGTTAACTGGTCACTTCACGCAGACTCTCTCACTGATACATTTTCATCTTTAAATCACTTATTGGTCTGCTGCCTTCATACATCTCATCCTACATGTCTCTGCGTGAGTGCAGCTACAGCGTGTGCCCTCAGGACATTATTACAGTGCCTTGCGGAAGTATTCGACCCCCTTGAACTTTTCAAACTTTTGCCACATTTCAGGCTTCAAATATAAAGATATAAAAGTTTAATTTTTTGTGAAGAATCAACAACAAGTGGGACACAATTGTGAAGTGGAAGGAAATTTATTGGATGTGTCAAACTTTTTTAACAAATAAAAAACTGAAAAATGGGGCATGCAATATTATTTGGCCCCTTTACTTTCAGTGCAGCAAACTCACTCCAGAAGTTCAGTGAGGATCTATGAATGATCCAATGTTGTCCCAAATGACTGATAATGATAAATAGAATTCACCTGTGTGTAATCAAGTCTCTGTATAAATGCACCTGCTCTGTGATAGTCTCAGGGTTCTGTTCAAAGTGCAGAGCATCATGAAGACCAAGGAACACACCAGGCAGGCCCGAGATACTGTTGTGGAGAAGTTTAAAGCTGGATTTGGATACAAAAAGATTTCCCAAGCTTTAAACATCCCAAGGATCACTGTGGAAGCAATCATATTGAAATGGAAGGAGTATCAGGCCACTGCAAATCTACCAAGACCCGGCCATCCCTCTAAACTTTCATCTCAAACAAGGAGAAGACTGATTAGAGATGCAGCCAAGAGGCCCATGATCACTCTGGGTGAACAGCAGAGATCTACAGCTGAGGTGGGAGAGTCTGTCCATAGGACAACAATCAGTCGTACACTGTACAAATCTGACCTTTATGGAAGAGTGGCAAGAAGAAAGCCATTTCTCAAAAATATCCATAAAAAGTGTTGTTTAAAGTTGACACAAGCACCTTGGAGACACCAAACATGTGCAAGAAGGTGATCTGGTCAAAACCAAAATCAAACTGTTTGGCTGCAAAACGATATGTTTGGCATAAAAGCAACACAGCTCATCACCCTGAACACACCATCCCCACTGTCAAATATGGTGGTGGCAGCATCATGGTTTGGGCCTGTTTTTCGTCAGCAGGGACAGGGAAGATGGTCAGAATTGATGGGAAGATGGATGGGGCCAAATACAGGACCATTCTGGAAGAAAACCTGTTTGAGTCTGCAAGAGACCCGAGACTGGGACGGAGATTTATCTTCCAACAAGACGATCCAAAACATAAAGCCAAATCTACAGTGGAATGGTTCACAAATCAACGTATCCAGGTGTTGGAATGGCCAAGTCAAAGTCCAGACCTGAATCCAATCGAGAATCTGTGGAAAGAGCTGAAGACTGCTGTTCACAAACGCTCTCCATCCAACCTCACTGAGCTCGAGCTGTTTTGCAGGAAGAATGGGCAAAACTGATAGAGACATACCCCAAGAGACTTGCAGCTGGAACTGCAGCAAAAGGCGGCGCTACAAAGTATTAATGCAAGGGGGCCGAATAATATTACATGCCACACTTTTCAGTTTTTTATTTGTTAAAAAAGTTTGACACATCCAATAAATTTCATTCCACTTCACGATTGTGTCCCACTTGTTGTTGATTCTTCACAAAAAAAAATAATTTTATATCTTTATGTTTGAAACCTGAAATGTGGCAAAAGGGCCTTCTCCTACTCCGCTCTTGTTTCCTGGAATATCTTACAAAAAGACCTGAAGCTCTCGACCTCGACCTCTCTAACCTCTCTAAGTGGCTTTAAAAATCTGTTGGACTCCTGGCAAGGACTAATGCAGACATGTTCCTGTTTTTAGTTTTCTATATTTGCCTTATAATCTAGCTGTTTTTGTTACCTTTTTGCCATCCTATTTGTAAAAAAAAAAAGCATTAAAATAAAATAAAATAAATCTGTATGCCTTTTTATATTTGTCTATTGTTGTCATCATTCTATGTTGAAATCAGGTCTCTCTTGTAAATGAGTCCTTGAGGCTCAATGGGATTTACTTGTCTAAATAAAGGTTGAATGAAAAAAATACCCATTGCATATAATTTTAATGGATTTTTGGTGATATAAAAGTAAATAACAATTTTTTTTTTAAGAATTGTCCTACATAAAAAGGCCATCATGTGCAAATGCATTCAGCACCAACTGTCATGATCTGACAGTTAAACTTAAGATTTTGTTCAACAGGTATTAAAACTCTAGGGCTAAATCTTCAAAAAGCCTGTCGTGCTAGTGGATATGCAGAAACATTTGATTATATGAAATTTCATGAAACTGTCTATTTGATGCTGCTCTGCCTGTAGTTAATCATTAAAAACACAACAGTTTAACTACCACACAGGAATAAATCACAGTTTAGGGAGGACTGTTTTTTATACTTAGCATAAAGATCATAATGCCATTTGAACTTCTGAACCTCAGTTACTGTCAGTGTCGTATTGAGACCGATTTTCCTGGTCATGTGATGGACTTGAGACCTGTCCAGGGTGTCCCCTACCTCTCGCACAGTGACAGCTGGACATGGACACCAGCGAACCCCGCAACCCAAAAAAGGAAGAAGCGGGTAAAGAGACTAACCTGTTAAATAAAGCTTGAATGAAAAAGACAATTGATGGATGGATGAATAAAATTGCTCCCTCTACTTGCCAGGATCCGTCACTCTGTCCTGCCTTGTCCTTTAAAGATTGTAGTTAAATACAGCATGTTTTTTATTGCACTGAAATCCAGGTTGGTATGTTTAGAGGAGAGATGTTAATAAATTTAACTTGAAGCTGTAGAACAGAAAAAAAATATTTGTTTGCTTAAATTATCCATCCATCCATCAATCCAATAGCTTTACCTGCTTCTTCCTTGGGGGTCACTGATGCCCATAACTAGCAGACACTGTGCGAGAGGTGGGGGACACCCTGGACAGGTCAGACAAATAAGACAAACCATTCACTCTCACTCACACCTAGGGACAATTTAGAGTTACCAATCAGAGTATGTTTTTGGTCTGTGGGAGGAAACTGGAGTACCACACATGCACGGAGAGGACATGCAAACTCCACCCAGAAGGGCCCGGATTTGATCTGACGACTTTCTCGCTGAGAAGCAACAACTCTACTGATCCACCGTGCCACCCTGCTTAAATTCTTTGCTGCACATTTTATGCTACGGCATCATAGAGCGTTTGCAAATGTATTCATGTGTTGAGAAAGCAACTCGGAGATTTACAAGTCTGACGTCAAATGCAGTGATTTTGTGAGACGCCACCTCGATTTTGATGCTTTTAAAATAAACTATATACATTGAGTTGAGTTTTCCTTTTAAGAGAAAATATAACCTGAACATATCACAAATGTGTGGTTGCTTTTAGACAATGTAAGGCTTGAAATGATAGAGTACATGTAATTAAGTATTGTAAATGAGTCCTCGAGGCTCAATGGGATTGACCTGTCTAAATAAGAGTTGAATGAAAATTAGGCAACAACAACAACAACAACAACAACAACAACAACAACAACAACAACA